GCTTCATTGCTGATATTTCCATTCTGCGAGGAGTGTCCGGTACATCCCTGCATTCATCACCGACGCAGGGCAGTTAGGCTCCTCCATCGGCTCGGTCCGTTTGGGGTATCTGCTTAGAGTTCTTTCCACCGGATTATGTCAAGATCTTGTTTACACTCTGCTCTCTCCCTTACATGTCATGTTGCATAGGCCGTGGGCAGAACGAGTAAAGCGTCTGCCTTTTGTAACTCGCTGGTCGCCGGATCGAATCTGCTTGGATGCGAGCGACCTTATATTTGTCGACGCCGTGCGACTGGTGGCGACCGTGTAGCAGCAGCGAAGCCTCGGTTCGGTGTCCCGGTCTACTCCTGATTCATTTTTCTTGACATCGAGGCCCTTTGGTGTTTTTCTGACTTTGTTTTGGCGACACACGGGTTGCACCAGCCTCGCCCTCGTCTCCCACTTATTTTCACTTCTATGAATAATCTGATTCTGACTGTGTGACTGCTGTGTTTTGTGTATGTGAGAGAATGGTGGATTGGGATAATGCGGAGTACCTAGATTTACTGCTGGACGCTCGACATTTGTCATTCCGTCTAGAGTGGTGCTAGTATTTGCGGTGAGCTCTGCATTCTCGGATGGCTGTTGTTAGACATTTAGATCTCTGCTAAGCCTAGCTTGCTGCACTCCCTGGCAGCGTTAACGATGATGGACATGTGGCGTCATTGTTTACATTGAAATTGCTTTTTTGCGCTAAAGGGAAAAGCTACTTGATCGTATGGATCGTTTTCAGATCACCACAGTGAGAACAGGTTTTCCGTACTTTTCCGAGACTTGACCCTTTCAACTCAGACCGTAGTAGTTACGGAACATTGTTCATTTATGGTAACAGCAGCGTATCTGCCACAGTGCCATGCGCGGCTCAGCTAGTGGGCATCAGCAGTATGCCGGCACATCGGACGGACCTTTCGCTGCCATGCGACCACCTCCAGTCGCGCGAGTTCACCTGCATCTGCGCGCATTCGAACGGGCGACCTCAGGATTACAACGCATGCGCGCAATTCTTTCGGCCACAGGGCTAGCCGCTTGGCTTGTGCTGCGGATGCTCAGTCATTGCGTACCAAGGAATGACCCTGCTTTGTGTACCTTGTGCAGGATGGCGCGAGAGTCGAATAGAGGGCAGTCAGGTTTCTCTGAACGAAATCTCTGGTTTCCCCACTTAGCGGGGTTTCTCCTTGTCACCGGATTGTAGTCTACTCGACACACTTCGTGACTGTCAACAAAATTTGAAAGTAAATCACACCCGACTAGTGTCTTTGGCGCACTTTATGTCACTCCCTAACTCGACACTGTTTGAGGTGTCAGTGCTGCGTTACATGTAGACCGCGTTTGATGATGGCGCAAGGGCATCAGAAGTCGCAAAGAAGTCGAGGTCGTTTTCTCTTTTATCGTTTAGTTATCTGCTATGGTGTCCACAAGGCCTAGGCATAATGGTCTTGAATACTTGCCCAGTGCTTCCAGTTTTCACTTACTTCCATCTTCACTTTTTTATTCTTCATTACTCATGCACTATCTCTTAATTTCTCCTTGGCGATGTTCACCATTTTGGTGATTTTCTTAGCGTCGCTAAGCCCAAACTGCGCGCCCCTAAGGTATCGTAAACTACTAGCGCTATATGCTATTACACATAAAATACACTCACACATTCCAGTTAGAAACAGCTGAGTAGGTTAATTAAAATATACTCCACTAATTATATTTACATATATTCGCACCATGCTAGTTGTGAACAATTGTCGTATACAGTGACGGTGGAACTATCGATTATTGAATGTAGTCGACTAACTGGGACTTGAGCTGATATGACGCATTACAGAGTCATGCTGACATTGGTTATCGTTTGAGGTTGTAAATATTCTGAACTCACGATTTCCAGTTGCTAAGTGAGAACATTGAAAGTCAGTAAATATGATTCGGATCGTTCTTCTAATGGACACACTCGACTTAGTGGACGAAGCTAAAGTTCTTATCCTTAGGAACTATGGTCTCCGCACTTCATTTTTGCTCACTTTCTTATTAACATTGTTCTATGAGCTAGTGACTTGTGTTGTCATTTTTTTCGCTACCGGCATTTCTTTTCGCAATGCCGCTGGCCCACTGTACTGTGTACTCGGTCAATGGCTCCAAAGAGACGCGCTTCCCACGATTTCGTCACGTTGCCGTTTGATTGGACTGTTAAGAAAAATATCGGGACCTGGTGTCCTTTAGGTCAATTTCTTGCTTCAGCTGGGTCAACCTGGTAGTATCACGTTTTTCAGCAGTGCCATGGGTTATACTACGTCATACATGCATACTTCAATGCCCATGCACATCCATCACATCCTGAGATTTCTTCTGTTGATAGTCTTCGCTCCTTTGAATCTGCTCTAGATGCCAGTTTCTCTGTGACCTAACTAGTGTAGCCAGCGGCTTTCTTTCGACCCAACTGTTCCTTCCGGTTAGTAACTTACAGTTTACTAGTCCTCATACAAATTGGACGGCAAGGCGGAATTGCGCATACTCTGGAATCCCTCGGTACGGATTTTTCTTAAATTTCTGACTTCCGATTATTGATCCTGGAACCGAATATTTCCAGTGTCTGTCCAGGGATACATAAGCCACTGCAGTCAGTTTGACTGATGTTTGTATTGCATCGAGTTATAGTGCTGAGACTGCGTCGCTGAATTTGTCCACAATTAACAGTCGATTGTACGCAGTCCGGTTTCAGGGTTCATACAGAGTCAGTAGACATCGTGGAGAGGCGTACCACTTGTTTGTGCTGTTCGCAGCACGATCAAACCGACTGCAGCTGTGAGTCAGATAGGCGCGACTTTTATCGTGGACTCCACTGACTTTTGAGTAAAGCTGAGGAGCCAGATGTTGTCCTTGTTAGAAGCTTAAATGCACTTATTGGTCGTCTGCTTTCATCGGTACGTCATAACTGTGGACGTTTCAAATGTTATTAGCGTGGTTCTGATAAGCGAGCCATCTAAATTTCACTTTATGTCAACCCTTGAAGCATTGTTACCAACCCACTATTGTTGCCTTCCTGGACATCTCTAGGCTGCGGAGATTCGGTCAATCGACCTGCTTCACGGCGCGGTTTACGACAGAATGGGTTGCCTAAAAGTGTACCGCCCCACTCACTGGGTGTCTCAGACAGAGTGAGAGCTCACATCAGGTTACCGCCCTTCGCCATCACTGGTGGTGTACGTTAGGATACTCTGTATTCCCATTTCTGCTCAGTTGTGACTGGGGATCTATTGTTCGCTATCTATAATGCTTCCAACGTTCTGGCGTAGGGCTTCAATTTACAATATTACATTCAACCACGTCCTTTCAGGAGTTTTAACAGGGACTATGTTGTTGATGTCGCTTTTCTCGGTGAGAATCCCAGAGTATACGGCTCCTTCTAAACCCGTCAGCGGCTTTTGGCTTCCGAAATTCCGTGTCTTGATCCACGATTATCATTCACCTGAACTCTTGAATACACGTGGCTTGAACAATTTATCAGCCTTGTCTGCCTTAGGAGCTACATTTTTGCTGACACCACCATTGGTAGGTGAATGTCTCTTGGCCTTTTCAAAGCCCGACCAACGTTCGCCAATCTGAAGTGGTATCTGGAGAGTCTTCGGTACGTTTTACTCTCGGTAAAGGGCAAGGTCTACAACGCATGTACTCACACCGTGTTGTTGGGTGGTAGCGGGTCCTGGCCTAGTCGCGCAACTAGTACGCATCAGTTTTTGGTTTCGGTAATGTGTGTTTGCGGAAGACAACTCATGTCTGGTGGGAGTGCCACGCTTTTAACGACCATGTTAGACGTCGCGTCTAAGTAATACGAGGATATTTCACGAAAGCCCGGTTTCGCCCCTGTAATTGAGATGGCTTGGCCACCTTCTACGCATGCGTTGCGAGCGATTATCACATCGCGCTTGATTCGTTCGCACAAGACCGCACAGGAATAAGCAGTAGTTACCCCACTACTTGGCGACAAAACCTCAAAATGTGATTACAAGTTTGGCCATTGTCAATCTGCCCGTCTTCCGAGATGGCGATCAAAGGATAAAGTGCATCATCGGCTGGAAGCCCTTGAAAACTTTTTACAAAATCAGGTTAACTAGAACATCTGTGTAAATTCATCACACCGCAATCTTTAAATGGGCAAACGAAGAATAGACGGCATGAGAATGCATTAGAAAGTATCCTCACATCCAATCCTCTTCTTTCTTTGTAATTTTATGCCTATCTGTATGATGTATACATCTCGGCAGTGCAAGATGCAGTCTGTTAAGTTTGCACAGTGAGATTGTATAAGACAGCTAGTTGTCCGAATCGCCCAAGTCTACTAATAAACGTGTTTTTGGAGTGATAGATCAGTTGGCCCCATTAGGAAGACGGTGTTGTTCCATTGTAGGAGTATAAACGGGGCCAATCGTTCGAGCGAAGTACATTGGCCGCCCGCAAAACCGCCTACCAGGGGCCTGCTTCCATGTGGTATGGTCTCTTGAAATGTTCCACCAGCGATTTCACGTCAACTTGTCGTGTGATCCTCTGCGTTAAATGCGGACTCACTATCATAGTATAAACTCATATACAGGACCTTTGTTATATGCATACATAATGACCAATCCATTTACCGGCCGATTCCAACATCCAGTTCTTGTGACCCAGACACTTATTATTCACCTGAGTCTATCGATTCACCTTGCTTGTGTCTACTTATTTGCTTGAAAGTTTCGACTCGTCACCTCGGGATATATATATATTTTTATTTATATATATATATAGTGCTCCTGTCCTCATTCAGCTTGGTATGTGGGTGATCTTTCAAAGTTCATCTCTTTTTCTGCACGCAAATCCAGACACGTCTGTTGTTCTCACCTCGTCCTCTTGCTCCCTTTTAACTCTTACACCGTGTTTTCCTTGTTGGTCCCGTTTCTTTACGCTGACTTCTTTTATGCTTCTTTCCTTCTCTGCATCAGGGTGCCATCACCACATCGGTCCATGGACATCCTTTCAGTGGTAATGTTTTCGGTTCCCATTCACAGCACCTTCGCTCTCCGCATGATCCTGCGCTGAACCAGGGCATGTTCCGTGCTATCCAGCCTACCGCCATTCGTGACCAAATCTGGCCTGTCCATCCCACATGCAACGACCATGTCTATAGTCGGGTGAATAATGAAGTCCCCGTGGTACCTTATTCTCGGCCGCCGTCCTTGCCTCAACAGCATCAAGGGAATATCAATAGACCATCGATTCCACCCTCAGTCCAGAATTCGTTCGGTCTTCCCGTGATCACTTCTGTAGCTGATAGTCCAGGTGGCCCCCCAGCGTCATCGTTGCCCTTTCAAGGTGGAGTACACGGGCTGTCTTTTGGTGCTGCTTCACCGTCTGTAATTGCGTCGTCAGCTCCGAACACACTGTCAGAGCATGTAACCTTGGCGCCTGATTCGATGCTCCTCCCTTCTTCCGGCTTGTCTTCGCATCGCCTGGGGGTCTCAAAAGGTCCTCCGCCCGCCTCAGTTGCCCCCAGTCAGCGACCTACATGTCACGAGAGTCCGCTTACTTCCACTGGACATCCTCTTGTCTTGCACCCGATGAACTGTCCTGATACTTCGACCGCACATCTGACTAGCACACTACCTGATTCGAACGTGAACAACTTTCCGACTTCCTGTACCATCACAGCCGTTCCATCCACTAATACACCTGCTGCCGGTGATTTAACACCTTTACAGCCTCACGTTCTAACCAAGGTTTGTTGATTGCTTTCTGCCAACTCACTTTCTGGGCCTTGCTTAACTCGGATAAATTTTGACTTTCCAAATGGGAATGTGCATTACTTTCCTTACGGTTCACCTTTTCCACTGTCTCTTCTTGCGTGTGTTCACTCCGTCCAGCTCACAATGCATTGGCAGTCTGAATTACTGGTTAGATGAAGTTCACAAGTATCACCCAGTGTGCAGCTGTTCATCTGTGCAAATGAGACTTCGAAATGACACTAACTCTTCCATTACGCGCTGGGAGTTCAGTGTTTTTTCTCTCCGTATTAGCAGCATAGCCCTTTTCTTTGTCATAGTTCCTTAAACCTGTTTACTTGTGTTTTCACTTCCAGGCCGATCTCGATGCCCAGAGACGTGAAGAACGTTTGCGCGCTACCTACGGTAACCAGCCTGCAACGTCCAATCTTCCTCCTTTCCTTTTTGAACTGAAGAGACCAGTGGCTCACGATGTTGGACAACTTGATTCCGCACACAGGAATGTCAATGAGAGTACTGAGGCTACTCCCAATCACCAGGTTGCTGTTTCCAAAGGCGCTTCGCTCCTTTCCAAAAATGATCAACGGAAGCCCATAACTGCGGAGCCTCTGTCCGATCCCTTAGTTTTGAATCGGTTTATTGCAGCAACCGAGAACCTTCTAACGTGGTTAGAGAATTTGAATGAACCGTTATCAGGCGTATCCCCTTCACACAACAATCAACCACCTAAGCGTTTGAGTACCGCCTGGTCTAGAGTCGTCGCTGCATCCACTGACTTCTCAAATTCATCTTTGTTCAAAGGTAAGAAATCTACTCAGGCGGCGGCTCTTTGTTGCGCTTCCAGGAACAGATGCCAAGACTACGTCCCTTACGATGCGAATCGAGTCGTGCTCGACTCCACCAAGAACGATTATATCAATGCCAGTCACATTGATCTCTCAGACTCCGTTGGCGATTGGTGTCCGCGATACATCGTGGCCCAAGCTCCTATGACCAAAACGCTGATTGATTTCTGGAATATGATTATTTCCCAAGGCTGTGAGCTCGTCGTTTTACTAACACCCCCAAAACCTTCTGGATTCGATACTCATTTGTCCGCTTTGATGTCCACCGGCTCTCAGCACGGAGAAGGTCAGTATGGGGATCCCACCGACATCCTCCATGTACCTGCACACCTGCCTGCAAATAAAGTCGGGGCACGGTTCTGTATTCCAGGCAGTTCCTTGGAATTGCGCTTGCAATCTATCAAGGAGTCTACGTCTGATTCGTCTGCGCATTCTTCCAATGAATATGGCTCAACTTACGTCGGGCAGTGGACAGAACGCCTTATCACTATTTGCGATCAGGCCACGCAACGCACTAGAAGTTTGATACATTTGTGTTTCCATGGCCCGATCCTGCAATCCACAACCTCTGATGCCGGATCGTTAGTGGAAACTAGTGCCAAACACTTTTGCGCTTTCGTTAACTGCGTCCATTCGTACTACAAGCAGCAACGATCTCTTGTTCATCCGATCGCTGTAGTGTGCGAGTACGGAGCCGGATTGAGTGGAGTCTTTGTAACTGCATCCGTTTGTATTCTGCATGCGGAGATGTTAGGACGTGTGGCTGATGTGGTTGAGATTGCTGGACAGGTATGTCGACTGCGCCGTGGATTGCTCCACCATCCATCCCATTTGGTCACCGCAGCTCGTGTCGTCGCACATGCCGCTGTGGAAACTGTCGCCCGACGTGACATCGTAGTTGGGCCTCGTCGCTGCGCACACAACGTTCTGACTCTATCAAATGCCACAGCCACTAGTCAGCGATCACTCGATGTAAGTCCTAGACACAACCCAATAGACACGCTGTTTTCGGATCAGCCTGTGAATTTAAACGACTTAATCTCTGTCGTGAACAAGTGGACTGTCAGTGAAGGCGAATCGATGACCACGCTAACTGACCGCGAGGATGTGGTTCCGGTCTCATCCGATAACGCTACTACCACTGTGGTGAGTTTAGCATTCCGTTCTCTTGCTTGATGTTTCCACATTTACTGATAATACCAGTCATAGGTTTGGTAACGTTACCGTATTGGTGCATTACTCTCACTTTATTTGGCCACTGTTCGCTCATCTCATGCATTGGTTTGGTTCGCTTCACTCTGGCCGGGAACGTATTACTGTCCTCTGCTAACTGACCGACACCTCAATTCATTGAGCATCTATTATATGGCAGCTACTTTGGTTCAGTTCTCCTTAGAAAGAGCCTGTGATATTGGCCACATTGGGGATCAGCAACCGCCCTCTTGCACTCCACCCGTTATCTCTACCTGTCAGTCGTTCTCTCTATTTAGCGATCATACTTTTCCGGCCTTGTTTTTTCTTTTATTTTCATTTATTTTTGTTGTTCTCATTTTGAAAACGCTGCTCATGACTGCACCCCAATTATCTGATCACAGCTGTCCCACCGAACCGAACCTGTCCATCGGTCCACAATCCCCGCTGCTATTCTTATCACCTCATTACCACTTAACCCTGGCGAGAAAGTGGATAAAATCATTCTACTGACCTAAGTATCTGGATAAATATGTTAGTTTGTCGTGTTGTCAGCTCCTATCGCCTGTTACATGCACCAGCTTCACATTCATGGTTTTAAGCCAGCCGTGATTACGATTGGGATACATTTTCGGGCCCACTTCCATTCCAGTTATTCCACAGTGTGATCCTGACTAGTACCAAGCGAACTGATAGTCTGAGTGTTCCAAGGTTGTTTAACACTCTCTTTATCGCGCTGTCTCCATGCTTCTCGATTAGCACCTATGCGCTCCACACACGCTTCAAGCACAAAGCAACTGCCACTTCTTTGCATGCGTCATGAACTGGAACTTTGTTACTTTGTGTTCTGCTGATCTGTCACGAACCCACTGTGCCTATGTGCTATGCCATAAGGGGGAGTCACCACTCTTTTCCCTACTTATCATTTGAGATGTCTTTTCGGAATCGTCTCACCAATTTCCATATCACAGCCTTCCATATAGTGCCCTTAAAAGTCCATTCGAGTAAAACAATCCCAACTTGGTGGCATGACTTTCTGAACATGGGGTACTTTGTTTCGCACTTTCCTCGCACCTCCAGTAATTCTCATACCGAGCTGATGGCGATCATATATGCTCGGTTTTAGCACCGTCAGCCTAAGTTATTGGGGATGTATCTATGGACAATTTCCGTTGAAGACAACTGTCTCCGGGTTATTGTTTGAGCATACATCTCACGAGGCGTATTTGTTATTAGGGGACTCAGGTGTTGTTTAAACCGGGCACTTCGTGGTAAGTTTGTGTTGCATCACCATAATCCACCTTTTCTCCGTTTCGCTGAAACAGTCACGATAAATTGGCTGAAACCAACCGAAGGCTGCTATGGATATTGGGCTGAATTCCTGTGATTCACATTGCGTCTCAAGCTTTTCTGATCATGTCAGTTGTTGTCAATCGTACTGAGGGGACAACATAAAATGTACGCATCTGCCAGCTTTTGTCTTCCTATCATACTTTTGTAACTCGTTTACGTTTCCCTCTATTTTTCACACCACTTTTTTCAATTATTGTGGCTCTGACGGCGCACCTCATGGCAACTGAATCCACCTCACCTCAGCGCCAAGAACATAACCGTTTAACTAAACTGAACAGATTGGCTAAAGGTAGCCTTCCTCAAAGTAGACTGTAACCTGTCCACGGTGATGTCTCTTGGCACTTTCGAGCTAAACCCACTACACTGTTCGATGGTTAGAAATTAAACAGACTCAGTTCCCTGATATTCTCTGGTGGGATTGGATTTTGGGTGACAGTTAGTTCTCTAAAATTGTTCCACCATATTCCCACTACCTTGCGCTCAGTCCGTTAGATTGAATACTTTCGTTGCGTATTTTTATTGTTCTGCGTAGGCCTGGGCACTTTGTTAACAGTCCATTGGACAAGCAGCCCAGTTTTTATTTTTAAATTTCGGTCTCACCCCGCATCCGCCGTCTCCCAGTTTCAAAAGGATTGCGTTATCCGCCGAATGGGACAGGATAGATGTGTCTAAATGGGTTACTGCTGATGCCTCTAACAATTTTTTTGGTTCTGCTCTCCATCACCATTGATAACCATACTTCCATGGTTTCCAGCCTAAATCTCAGCAGCTGCAGTTTCCTTGAGCTTTTTCCTTTTACGCTCATAGTCTCCTACTGGTAAAAAGTCCTTGTTTAAATCAGGATACCTTATTTTTCTGATTATGTCCAATATCAGTAGGGTTATCGTTCCCAATTCATAGTAGGACACCATTTGCCTTTCAGTCGCAGAAACTGCTGGAACTTGCTTACTTACTTTTACTTTACTGCGGCTAGCTCCTGTGACAAAATCAGCCGGCTTCATGAATCTCGCAGATACTGATCCAATGATTTCTCCAGTGTCGAACACTGTGCACAGTCTGGAGTCCCAGAATATCGACACCCGATTTCACTGCAATGAGCCGCGTTTTCACTTGTCCACCAACCCTGGAAAGACGAGAGCGAAACCACGCCTTGTGTAGTCAGTATCTGGTCTGCGGAGGCCGTGACCGAACCACTGAAGTCTGTGACGTTGGATGAGCGTTAAGAGCTTCGGAAGCGCTTACGGATTTCGTCATTGGTGATGCGCTCATGCCACTTCCTTTTCAAGATGAGCCTTAGATACCAATGGTCGAAAACTTCTAGCTTCCGGGTATCTTCGGATCGCAGCGCAATGTTTCGCAACCGTAAAGTAAAATGGCCGGAATGGTTACTGAACATACTCAGGTTTTCGTTCGCAGACTAATTTTCTTCCTTCGCAACAGTGTGTTTCTCATTTGTAAGAAGACTGTTCTGGCGCTATCAATACGACCCCGGATTTCAGATGCAACCTGACCATTAGGGAGAATAGTGGGTTCCAGGTGCTTGTATTCAGGAACAGGCTCCATACGTTGTCAATGTATGGAAAGTGGCCCGTAGCTTCGAGGTAACGAGCTTGTCTCATAATCTTGCAGCGCGCGTTCGAATCCGTGTGGGAGTGGGCGTCCTCGCGGTATACTCAACCCGCGTTCGACTGGTGGTGGTCGCACAATAACGAAGCGCCCTTACGGCGTACAAATGACACATCATTACCATTATTATTATGACTGTCGTTGTTATTGTTATTATGAAGAGCGACGACGCAGACTGGGTGGATGACGATGAGAAGTACTTCGTATTTCTGATGTTAATTTAGAGGCCGATCGTAGATGCTGATTGATCGACCCGATTTAGCAGTGACTGTATTGACGGGATCTTCTGCAGGGATAGCGACATCGTCATCAAATTCCAGATCTGACAACCAGGTGTCAGGGCTAACTTGAACACCAGGATAGCCCTCAAGGGCATGATGCATAACTCAGTCATAACTCAGTCGGCCGCGAAGTGGTATAGCACTAGATAATCTGGGCAACTATGCCGGACTGCAGTATCGATGTTGATTTCTTGTTTCTTCTCCATAAACTCGAATCCGGGCCTTCGTGCAACGGTAGTATGATCTCCTCAATTTTACGAGTTTAACCGGCACGCCGTCGGTGAGTAGGATTTTGCAAAGTGCTTCATGGGCAACTGAGTTAAAAGCAGCTCGAAAATCAACGGAGTAAACACGTGGACTGCGGGAACTGATAGTGGTGTTCGAGTAGCCGGTTTAGAGTGAAGATTTGGTCCGTGCAGCCTCTGCTTGGACGAAAGCCACCTTGATTATGGCGAGTTTGCAGGTTCCTCTCATTGACAAACCGGGAAAGCGACATTCGTGCGAAGAATTTGGCGGCCACATCGATTAGGCTAATCCCACGATAATTACTGCACACAGTTCAGTCACCTTTCTTGGGAAATGGTAGTAATACTGTGGTACAAGGAAGGACAGATTTCGGTCTCCCATATCGAGCAGAAGAAACCGTGCAACTGGCAAAGAAGAGCTGCTAGAGAAGCCTTGTAAATTTCAGCTGGAATCCATCCACTCTAGGAGCTTTCTTCGGCCTCAGGTGACTTACTATATCTGCAACTTTTGTGGAAGATGGCAGTGAGCAATCCGCGGTATATCCTGACTAGGCTGATGCTGCAATTAGTGTGGTTGTGTGTTGTGGGCCGTTTAGAAGGTTGCTAAAATGCTCCAGCTATCTGGAAAGTTTTCCTTCCGTTTCACTGATGATTTGGCTATGCGAATCGCGCAATATCAGCTGTGGTAAATAGCGTTTGCCAGAAGTTAAACGGATGAGACGAAAAAGACGACCCAGATTGGCAGCATTTGATTCAGCTTCCTTGTTGTCTGCGATACCAGACCAGTACGGTTGCGATCATTCCGTGTTTAGCGGGTTGCCTCACGTCTCAAGCGACGGTAGTATGGGAAATTCGTGAGACATGCTTCTTTAGCGGACAAGCGGGTAGTATCTCCAGTGATCCAGTCCTTCACAGGCTTATTGCTAGAGCCCAGGGTAGATAAAGCGGCGCGTTGAACTGACTGTGTTAGTCTAAACCAACTAACGTCAACAAATTCATCTTCTGCAAGTACAAGGCGTGGTGCACTGGTAGAAATTTATGCTTCTATTGCTGTCTCAAGGGCCGGCAGCAGTCAGTATTCACCATTGGGGAAGTGTTGTTATGCTTTGATGGATGGGTCTTTCGACGCGTTGTCAGGCAGAGTCTGAATTTGGCGCGCAGGCGTATATGGTCCGAACCACCTTTATTGCCCATTTCAGCCTCTACAGTGAGACTCTACACTCATTGATGGAAGACATGCACCGGGGTCGGATTAAGATGTAATCTATTTGGCTAGCTTTACGGCCATCATTGGAGTACCACATCAGAAGATGCTTCCTGGAAGTGAGTATTGGTTATGCACAACCGATTAAGGTCGGCGAAACTAAGCAAGCAGTCTCCATTATCACAGCGCTCTCTAAGGGCGTATCTTCAAAGTATGTGCCTGGTCTGACCGGCCAGGTTCATGCACTCCAATCCACAGGAACAACGAGGATGTCGCGTTTTGGAACATACTTCACCACCGTCTATAGAGTATCGTAAAATTCGTCTTTATTCCTTTCCGCTGACGGTATGGTTGGTGCGTAGACAGAGATTATGCTCAGATTCATCGGGTGACCTTTGAAGCCAACAACTGCTATTCTAGGTGATGCTGGCTTCCATGAAAGGAGGGCGTTGTGTCCCTGGCAACTGAGAGCCATGGTGACCCAATGGTTGTCAGAATTATCTTCCTGCTCACTGTGGTAAAGCTAATATGAGGTGTCTACACCAGGAACTTTGATTTGTCGGAAACCAAAGCGGAGTATTCGAGCTTCTGACTGGCTTGCTATATCTCTCTGGTAGTCATGTATTGTGTGCGTGGTCAACGCTTGGCTGCTGACATCCAATACATAACGGCCACCGATGAGGTCTTGGTGACAGGTGGAGATTAGAGGTAGGCGGACTACTCCAAAGGGTAAAGCAGGTCCCCTACCAGACAGAGGTGCTGCTCCTCCCTGGCACCGCAGGCACCCCAATACTGCTGGAAGGAGCCAAAATATTCATTTCGGTAGCATAAGGTCCAGTGGATTTTCTCGGTTGTTTGCTTCAAGTGAAGGATAGATGACATTTTTATGTTTCGCTTGTTTTACTCTCAAAATAAACCGGATTTTCTGATGAGCTCCGGGTCGTCTGGATTTTTATCTTCATCGAAGCGCACTTTCTCAAATGGGCTTATTACGTCATCTTCCACTCCGTATCCCCAAGCGGCACACCGTCGATTGCTGGCTCAGGTGTACCAGTGCGCAAAGTTTACCTACTTGATCCCCCAACTTCTCCAGTTGCTTGCCTTGTTTTTTCACGTAAAACGGGGCAGGTATCTGCACAGTCAGTTGGTCATAGCACCATTCATTGGCATCTACTCGGTTTTCTCTTATCACGTCGCAAAAGCACTTCAGTCAGTGGTGAACCACCAGCAAATAGATCATCAAAAACACCTTGACATATAAGATTAGTCTGTTCCTATTACACACGCCTTGTTGGGCCCATGAGGTTCCTTCTTCTGGTCAGTCAAACAGTGAGCACTGCACCGTTGCACTCTCGACCGCCGGCAAATCCGCAGAGTTATGCACAATTCCGGATCCGTCGAATCCGTCTCCAGTTGATTATCTGGTTCGTTTCTCTGATCAACTTGTACACTCCGAGTACACAGTCACATCACACCTATGGCCGATGGGCTCCTAATTACATTCTTATCTATCCTCCCACAACACTTGTCTGCTCCGTCTGTTACCGTTTTCTGGCCGTTAGTGACTATTTGGTCAAAACATTGTATGCAGCTTTAAGAAACAAGTTGCTTACTACTGCTCCCCACTCACTTGCGCATAATGTCCACTGAATCCAAGTGCCACATCACTTTCATCATGGGCTCCTTTGGTCACCATGATCAACAGGCAATAGGACCTTATTTTCTCGATCCATTCGGTAACTTGATGAGATTTCATCGGCACTTTAGTATCTCGCTATTGCTCATTTATCACATCTTCTCACGTTGCCAAGCGGGTATTTTCGTGTGTTGCTTGTTTCCTTTGTATTCCGCGTTTTCTTATTCATCTCTTTATATTGTGCTATCCGTTACGCCTCCTTACATAGATTGTTTACGCCCTCGTCCTCCTAACTCACATATAGGTAGTCATAAGGCACCTGTTGCTCTCACCTTTACCAATGTTCTGATATCTTCCCTTGCCATTTAGGGCTGTCCGGCCGCGAATACATCCCTCCCCGATGTCACGGATGTCGCCAATACCAGTAACTCGGACCGAGAAGCGAAGGAGGCGACTGGTTCTGCTACTTTACTCTCTGTTGATCAGTTGGTTGATCTGACTGGTCTGTCTTTATCAGACTTACGTAAAAAGAGGTGCAGTCGCCGCGAATTTGAGTCTGTTTCCTACCATCAGCCAGTTCACAATTTTGATGATCCATTCGCACAGCTTGATCCCATCTTGCAGTCAAAACTGTCAGCTCTCATCAACAATGCTCCGTGATCTTTCAACAAACGATGTATAAGTTCACACTTCAAATCTCGCCTACACACTACTTTTTTCAATTGATTTTGCCCATGTTCCATGAACCGCCTCTTATTTTTACTTTATTCGCTAATTCCACATTTTGTTCATCATTGTGATTTTGTAGCTTCACTTTGTTTTTCAAGCATTCACCTTCGTGGTTTTTGTTGCGACAATAGTCATTCTTTTCAGTCCATCTGCTGTGTACTGTGGATGTCAACCAAAGACGCTCGAGAACTTTTCATAAATCGGTGTTGCGCGGGTTTCCAGCCTTTCCATAGTACAATTTGATAAAATAGGCTCTTGAATCGCTGGATACTGAGAATAGAGAGCGAGAAGATAAAAATCTGTGTTGTTCCTTCCTAGGATGATCGGATACATGCGCGGAATAACCTCGCTGATTCCTGCGCGGTGACAGCATATTGCAATTGCACTACATCTTATCCGGGTGCGATATACTCCCTACACCTGTAGTCCGTAAAGTGGGCGTCAAGGAATCTCTTAAATTCCGATACCGATTTCGCCTTGACTAGTGTCTGCGGCAATTTGTTCCAATATCTCACCACTCGACGTTCGAAGCATAGATGGTGAGCGATGTGCTTTAAATCCGGCACCACTAGTTTATACCGGTGTCTGCGTCTGCTGCTAGGTGCGCGAACGTGCAGCAGCGGCTTCAAGATAGGGAAGCGGCCCAGGTGCGTCATAATGAGATCAACTCGAAGCTGACGATTAGATAGGTTATAAATCCCCAGTCTCTTACATCGATCCTCCTACAGCATACCCCGTAAACTGGGGATGAGCCGGGTGTCTACATGCTGGACCCGTTCCAGTCTCTGCACCTCACCTATTGTGCTCGGACAATAGGTGGGTGAACCGTACCGTTCTTATTATGGAAGAGAACAGGTGGGTTGCAATCTCTTCAGACCAAGTGCAGAAACTGCGTCTAAGTGCCCAAAGCAGACGTAGTCCGTTTGCGTACAGCCTGTTCGTGTTGTCGACAGACTTCGGATCATAGCGTGAGAGTACGCCTAGATGCTTTACGGAACTGGTGGGATGCAGTGCGTGGCCGGCTAGGGTGTACGCACGCCTATTACTACCCTTCGACTAGGTTCATAAACTCAAACTTGGCCGTGTTGACCGGTTGGTCTACTTCTGCAGACTGCCGGAATTGGCGGTCGAGGTCCTACTGATGGACGTCACAATCGTCGAGAGAATCAATAATTCTCGGAATCTTGAAAAGCACAATTGGAAAATGAAGTCCGGCAGATGCATGCATTTCGTATCGTCTCATCAGTGCCAATAACGATAACCGGTAATTTTATCTAACAGTTTTGTGGGTACAGACATGCATACAAACAAATGTGAGAAAAATGTGGTGTCTTTTACAACCAGGGCAACCTGAGGCTGACCGATAATTGTTTTTGAACCCAAAGCACTGGCTTAATCCGATTAAGGACCGAAACACACTGCAGCACGACAGAATTGAGGAAGAAGGAAGAGAACCATCTACCCCGGGTATTGCAAAACAACGGGTATCCAAGAAACTTCATCAGAAGAAGCCTAAAGAAGAAGGGGCTGCAACAACAGCAGGAAAACATAGATAAACATATAGCGCTTCCTTACATCAAGAATGCATCTGAACTAATGTTAAAATTACTACGACCACATAGAATCTTGGTAACCCACAAACCAATTGGTACTTTGCGAATATTGCTCTCAAGACCGAAGAACAAAGTCAAACTAGGCAGTCAGAATGATGTCATCTACACTACAAGGTGAGAATCAGAGATTGATTTCGATGGTCATGTGCTTGTCGAACAATCCAAACTCAGACTAGCGGCTAGGAGATCGATCACTCACACTCACTGACGCTTCGTACGCGCCACTCTGCTAATTACACGCGCACTGACGATGTCACCTCGAGTGGTGAGGAAACGTTTTCAGTCAACCTGCCGAGCTCAGCGAACACTGAGACCACCATATCGCAATGGCAATAGCCTCGACAAACCGTAGGAGCTGGGAATTAGTATGGCGAAGCAGGATTCTAAACGCCTTGTTGACCTCAATTCGGTGACCTGATGTCAATAAACGCCTGCCGATCGAAGATGCTGGCGGCCTGCGTACACACGTAGTCTGATTTGGGCTTGCTTGCTGAATAAGCCCGCATTGAACCCATTTTGGTACATGCTCCTTTATTCGGGAACTCAGGGTTCTATTGGTTCTGCCTATGTAACTATCCCGGTAGTTACATACGAATTGATATACGCAGTGGGAGTTGGCGCCAATAGGCTGAGTTTCCTTTAGTGGACGCAACGTTAGCTTATGAGTTCGGTCGATAATTACAACTTCGGCAGCACGGAAAGTGCTCTGTGTGGCGGAAATCAGACTTCTCGTCCTCAAAGAAGCAGTGTCACCCTTAAAGGGCAGCTCTAAGAATACCTTTTTCTTAGGTACAGTAGGTACAGCAAATTTCATTTCACGGATTTCGCTGTGCTTCCGGATAAATTTTCGAGGGTAGCAATTGGAGTGGTAGAGAGCAGATAGGACATCCTTTGTCAGCTCCATCACATCCCGTTCAGAGCAAGGATTGGGCGACATGCTGCTAGACGGTATTCCGCAAGGGACCATTACGGTCGCATCGAAAACAGCAGGATCCTTGCATACTCAGCAGATAGGAGTCTAACAGTTTCTTAAAACTTTCCTCACATTGTGTACTAACAACCAGTTCAGGCAAGCTGTTCCAGTCCTTTACCACTCGAGTTCATAGGGTGAAATCAGAATGAATCCGGACCCTCCTCGGCTTAAACAGTTTTCAAGAGTGACCCCGTGTCGAGCTATCAGCGCGGAGCTGGAAGAACTCTTGCAGTTCACTCCCCATCTGTCTTCGCAATATCCGTCTGATGTAAATCAGATCACCCCGACGTCGACGGTAGTCCAAGGAAAACATGTTCATCTGTCGAAGACGCTGAGTGTAAGGCAGGTCATGGAGCGCTAAGATGGATTTCGAGCCTCGTCGCTGAACTCGTTCAATCATAACACGTTCAGTCTTTGTAAAAGGGTAGGCCGCAGGCAAACCGTACTCGAGGATAGGGCGCACATGGGAAGAAAAAGAAGTCTGAAGACCTCTGGAGTCATTCGGGAGAACGATCTCCTAATGGCACAGAATATCCTATTCGCAGCCGCTATCTTCCTCAAGGTGTCCTCGGTGGTACGCAGATCGGGAGATACGAGTATACCAAGGTCTTTCTCACAGGCAGCATTCCTGATCAAGAAACCACCAATGTGATAGGCGCCAAAAGGGTCAGAAGAGCCGATCGGCAGGACAGAGCACTTCTCACGATTGATGGGTACACGCCATTCCGAAGACCAGCTATGAAGCAGGTCTAGCTTCTCTTGCAGTCGGTCAGCGGCTTCAGGTGTTGGTACCTCCATCCATATCTTCAGGTCATCGGCATAAAGCAGACAGTCGGTCTGGAGTACAGATGGAAGGTCATTAATGTAGACTTTAAACAGCTCGGGGCCAAGGACAGAGCCTTGTGGAACCCCACTGGTCATGGGAACGGAAGCGGAGTAGACCTCATTCACCTTTACTCGCATGCTATGGCCATCCAGAAAATCAATGATCCATGAATCTCTCCAGAAACACCAATACTCCGAAGTTTAAACAGAAGCCGTTCGTGTGGTACTGTATCAAATGCCTTCTTGAAGTCGACGAAGACAACGTCTAAGCGATTTCCGGCATCTAATGACCTGGTCCACCTCTCTCTGGCAACGAGCAGGTTGGAAACACATGAGCGAGCTCGCCTGAAGCCATGCTGCGCAGAGGAAATGACATTCAAGTCGTCAAGGTGACTCTGAAGGGCTCGCTTGAGAATTCGTTCCATGACTTTACAAACTATAGATGTTAAGCGAATTGGTCGATAGTTTCCGGGGTCCTGACGACTTCCACCTTTATATATGGGCTTGACGGTGCCAATTTTCCAAGCAAGCGGGAGACGCCCCGCATCAAGAGACCGCTGAAAAATTTGGCAAACAGGTACAGCGATGTACTCAGCTAGGGTTCTGAGCAACAAAGGGTGTAGCCCATCAGGGTGTAGCCATTAGTAATTAGCTTGTTGGTAATTAGTTCTAGTTCATCGGCTAGACAATCAGTCGAACATATTCATCTGGCGCAAGCAAACAGGATCTTCACAAGCGTTCGCTTATGTCACACTGGCATAAAACTAATAAAATACAGATACTTTCCCGACCATGTTGTTTTTCGATAGACAGACCTTTTTCTCAGTCCGTTCTCCCTGCGGCTGATAAGAACATCCAAATATAGATGACAGTTCTGTTGTTCCACTTCGCAGGAAACCCTCAATTTGACATGCGAGGAGTTAAAACGCGCAACTGGCTGTGTGATCTGCATTTCTGTTGTACTGAACACCAAGATATCGTCCACGTAGCGTTTGTAATAGGGTAACTGCGCTATTTCTTCGAATAGGTTTCGTTCTATCATCAGCATGAGGAAATCCGCAAGTATGGGACCCAATGGGCTGCCCATGGCTACCCCATCAATTTGGCGATACGGTATGCATCGGAAGTGGAGATCCACATTCTCTGTGCATAGGAGTAATGATTCTTAAGAATTCAACTGGGATCGGCAGCGGACATTCGGAACTGATTCGCATATGTAGACTCAGGCTGCCCTGGTTGTCGAAGAAAGACACCCCATTTCCCCCCCTTTTTTTTACATATGTCTGTACCAACAAGCTGTTATATAAAATTACCGGTTATCGTTATCGGCACGGGTTCACTGGGGGATTATTCAGCAAGCAAGCCCAAATCAGACTACGTTTGTACGTAGGCCGCCAGCATCTTCGATCGGCAGGCACTTTTTGACATCGGGTCACCGATTTGAACAATGCGTTTAGAATCCTGCTTCGCCATACTAATTTCCGGCTCCTCCGTTTTGTCGAGGCTATTGCCATAATTCGGATTAAGCTAGTGCTTTGTGTTCAAAAACAATTATCGGTCAGCCTCAGGTTGCCCTGATTGTAGAGGAAAGACCACCTTTTTCTCACGTTTGTATGTATGTCTGTACCCAAAATACTGTTAGATAAGATTCCCGGTTATCGTTATTGGCACTGATGAGACGATACGAAATGCATGCATCTACCGATATTTGTCTTCTATTTGTGCTTATCAAGTCACTAGAGAACTAAGTTTTTTTATTCTTGGAATGTTCAGGTCGTCTGCAAACAACGCGCAGCGCGACTGTAGAAGCTGTGGTACTTCGTTGATGTGGATCAGGAAGAAAATGGGTCCCGGTATTGTGCCTTGGGGTACGCCGCTATTG